AGTCCGTCTGAAGCACTCCGCAGGACTTAGCTGGAGGAGACAAAAGGCATGCATGGTCTGTTGCATTATTTTGCTGAAATGTACTCTTTTTCTAGAAATTTGCACCTGGTGTTTATCCAACTGTAATCTTCTCCTTAAATTGTTGGAATTTTGATTTTGCTGTTACTTGCTCCTGCTGGTACCCAATGTAGACATTGGATGCCAACTAGTGCTTATCTGGTTTTAAGCTTTGTGCTTTGTTGAAAGTTGGAAGTAGTGTTGTTTTGCACTTGGTCAGTAAAGAGGAGACATGATTTGTTGATGTTGTAATGCTTTTATATAGTTCAGACCTTGGAGGCCTTAGTCAAACCATCTGAAGAAAAATAATTCTACTTTTCATTACTGGATAATTCTTTCCTGTGATATATTAGCTGGTATACAGTCATAATACATTCACTTGACAGTTCTGATATGTAAGATACCTTAGTAAAAATATCTCTAATCTTTCTGAAATGTCCATATAAAGTATATCATACTGTGACTTGACTACTACTTTGAAAGAGCATCATGCAAACGTTACTGAACTCCTGCAAGGCTCTGCTGACTTTAATAAATTTTGAAGCAGGCACAGATTCCCTGATGTCAGAGTCTCAGGAAAAGTACTATAATAAGGCTGCTCTAATAGCATCCTTTTCAACTGTTAAAATGTAAGAAAGAAATTTCTTAAAAAAGTTTTTGATAAAATATGCTTCACAATGTTGTCATACTGTTGTAAGTAGCAAAAAAGCAACAGAGTTTTAAAGCAGAAAAATGCTCTGTACAGTTTTAAATGTTTTAAAAAGCAATGGATACACTCCTTTCTATGGTTCAGTACACGTGAACTAGGGATTCACATCCGAAATTCATTTTTATCTTCATTTGGTCATGTGGAGTCACTTGCATTTTTCTGTGTTCCAAAGCCTCGATAAACCAGACACAATTTTTTAATTAGAACAAACAACAGAAATCTTACTTAAAAATGTTTATTGTAAAAAAGTGGCTAGAAAACAACATGAATTTCACTTCACACATTCTTCAAGTTATCCATAGATGCTGCTATAGGCAACAATTCACTTTCATTCATAACACATTCAATCATATAAAAATAAAAATATTTACATTATGTCCACATACTTTACAAAATCATCAATAAAAAAGGCACTTGGAGGGGTAATGCTGAAAATATTGCATTTCCTTTGTGCATTAAAAAAAAAATAATTGTCAAACTCCCGTGAACCCCCTCTCTTGCACTTATTCCCGTTTTTTAAAAAAGATTAGAGTTTAGAGGAACCATTCCATATTAAAAGATGGTCAAGCATGCACCAGGAATGTTTGAAGCTACAGTCTTTTTTTTTTTTAAAGGCACATGCACAGTTAGTTTGTGGCTTTCAGTTTTTTGTACATTCTCTTACATGTTTTTTTTTTCCCTCTCAGTTATGCAGTTTTAAAGCATTTCAGATCATTAATGAAGGCCTTGGCTTCTAATAAAATAAAATAAAAAAACACAGCAATGAATAATATTAAACATTTACTAAGGTAAACTTGGAATACTTTTTAAGGCACCTGAGATAAATGGTGTCTAGCGAAATTCACTTGGGTAGTATTTTTATTAAAAGTTCCACTTAAAATACTGTTTCTTTGGTTGAAATGGCTTGGCAGGAATGTATTGTTAACTTTGCAGTCTTTTCTAAGCAAGAAAAGACGACATACATTTGGCTACATCTATAAAGAAAGCTGATAATGCTTCTTCCTTTAGAACTACTTGAAATGTCATGCATGGTGTCTTTCCCCGTATTTCAGAATTCACACTTAAGAATGAGAATGTGTGACTGAACAGGAACTACTTAAAGCTCATTTCTACTGACATTCTAAGTTCTTCCACTATTTTGTTTGCTTGTTTGGTGGTGTTTTGGTTTTGTTTGGCAGAAAAGAAGACGAGAAAACGCCTTTGGATTTCCACTTATCATTTGGAACAGGAGTGGAGAAATGCATTGAGTCCAGGTAAACATTGACTGCATGACTCAGTGTGCTACACAGCAGCCAGATTCCTCGTGTTTGTGCAGAAGAGACATTCTGGAGAAAGTTTTGGAGCAATTTTTGCACTGGTATTTCTTCACATCCGAGTGGGTCTGCAGATGAGCCCTCAGATTGGATCTGTCTGCAAAAGCCCTGTTGCAGTGAGGACAGGAAAACGGCTTCTCTCCTAAAAAGGAAACATCAAGAAAAAATAGGATAAACTTTTAAAAAAGTAGTACGTGCTTAGGACAGGTAAACCCCACTTCTATCCTAAGAAACAAACAAACAGAAAAGATTTGTTGTAATAAAGGCTGTAATAAAAAGTTAATTGGACCACAGATACAACAGCTTTCAGCCCTGCTCTCTGTACTTGCAAAACTCAGTTTTTTCAGAACATGCTGCTTAAGTGCAGTCTCCGAAGAGAAGCTGCTGACACCTTCTGCATCTACAGGTGCAGGCAGTACTTTAGGTTGGGCTCCTCCCAACATTTTCAAATATTTTAATAGAACTTTTCCTGCTTAGCGCTGTGTGAATTACTGGGGACAAGGGCTTTGACTGAAGGGCAGCAAACAGCAATACAGCCATTACATTGTACCCAGTGTTATACTCCAAATCAAGTTTTTGCCTCAACAGAAAAGACAGACTGCTTTGGTGATGATGTGTTTCCAATTCTTAAAAGCTTGAGATAGCACATGCAAAACGTGCCAATTGCTTAAGGAGTCAGAAAGCAGCCCCTCATGCATTGCCTTTCTGTTTTGCTGCTTGATGTCAGTCAGCTGGAGCCTTCTCAAAGTTAGCAACTTCCAAAGCCTGAAAGTTAACATAAAATCCTTAAAGCAAAACCTTCAGCTAGTGGAAATGGGCTAAACTGTCAAAAAATTTTCGAGGGAGCAATGCTAATTTATGCCAGTACCTAGCCCAAAGTTATGAGACCATGCTATGGTCTCCCTATGATCCCCTTCCTCCTCCCCCCCACCCCAAGAAGGAGAATTTAGCCTTTTGATGATACATTTGAAATTCTGCATATGCATTTCAAGGTTAGTAAAGAAACACTGCTGGTTTTTTTTCCACCTGTGGAGAAAAATAGCAAAAGGACATCCTGACATTATAGCAAGAAGAAACTGCAGTTGTAATGGTTGTTCTTACCAGTGTGAGTTCTAATGTGTCCTTGAAGTAGCCAGGGTCTAGAGAAAGCCTTGCCGCAGATCTTGCAGACACAAGGTAGCGTGTGGGTCCTGATGTGCATCTTAAGTGCTCCCAGGCTGACATACTCCTTGTCACAGTACTTGCAGCTGAACGATTTCCTAGACTGGGCATCACAGTGCAGCTGCTTATGTTTGGCCAAGCCAGAGAAAGTTGAATAGGTCTTGTTGCATAAACTGCACTGAAACTTTTCAGCTTCGATTGCATGGGGGTCTGAAAGCTTGGACTGGATTCTCTCTTCTTCATCGCTAATGGGACTTTCTGAACCACTGTGATCTTTGGAGGAGGTGTCAGAAGGTGGAGGTGGACTGACTCTTCCCAAAGATGAGGGGTATCCAGAAAGCGGAGAGAGGTCATTGGGTAACGGAGACGGTAGCAGCCCGGTTGTAGTCCACACAGTAATGGGATTGTAAGCTACTGAGCTCAGGATCTCTGGCTGTGGTATGATAGGGACTGGATAGCTTTCATACAGGTATGGGGATATAATCACTGGAGAAAGAAGAAAATTTTAAGGTAAGAGAACCAAAAAGTATTTCAAAAGGCAGCAAAATTAACATTTTGGCGATTAAAAAGTGCATAAATTAAATAGTATGATCATCTGAATATAAGGAGGATTAAGGAAATAGCATTTCATACATATATTCTGATGGGTAGCGACAGTGCCCTTGGACAGACAAATTACAGCTGGAGAGTCTCTTCAAGGCAGCATGCTGTCTCTAAATCTGTGCAGCCTGACACAATGAAGCAGTGAAACTTCCTGAAGGATTTGTACAACAGTTTCAATTCCACCACCAGCAGATACAGAACAGGAAAACTCTAAGTAACGAGTTCAAGTGGATGAGCAAACTTTATGATTAACTCTGGGCAGCATCGACATATTTCTCAAAACTCCCTCCTTGTAAGCAAAAAGAGAAAGAGCCAGCAATGAGCTAACCCCAAACCCGAAAAGAAATCCCACCCCTCCTCGTTACTGCCACGCGATGACCGCAGCCTCGGACGCAACGCAGCGGCATTAGTCTTCTTTTCGCTACCTGTATGAGTGTCCAGCTCGCTGTAGTTCGGCTTCTTGGATGAATTGAAATGTTTCTTGACCAGGAAGGAGCGTGGCATTTTGGATGCCGCCTTTCTCCCTCTTCCAGACTCTCCCGGTGGGTCGGTGTAGTGGTCCCCGGCTGGCGTGCAGCAGGCGCGCGCACACGCGATCACTGCGAGCGCATCGGTCCTTTATGGCGTTGCCTGCCCCCCGCAGCCCGTCCGCCGTGGTGGTGTAGCGGCAGTGCAGAGGCGCCTTGAAAAGTGCCGTAAATACCCACTAGTCAGGTGCAGGGGGGAAGGGTTTTCCGCTCCTCCAATCACTTCGGGATGTTCTCAAGCACTTTTCCAAACAGGCTGTTTTTCTGGGAGGGCTCTCCGGCCGCTGGCGGCAGGGATCCAATCCCTGCGCGGAGGGCTTGGTTCAGGTTTCAGCTCCTCCCGCTGGAGACAGCTGTGAACGGAGGAGCAAGCCGTGGTCAGAGCGCGTTATCCTGCTGCAAAGCGGGTGTGTGTCGCTCTGTAGAATTTCTGTCTAGAAAAATGTGTTGGTCGAGGTGCTTTAAAAAAAGGTCAGTTTACTGATTCAGCTGAATTCTTTTTTTTCTTTCTGGCAGAGACCTGGATAAGTCATAGGCACTGAAGCTTCTTGTTTTCTTTTTTTTTTTTTTTTTTCTTTTTTTTTAAAACAAGTCTGCTTTCCAGATGTTTGATATAAGAATTACAATGGAACAAACTGTTCATTAAGGGCAGAAGGGGGGACATTACAAGATAACAAGTTAGCCGGCAGACCTAATGGAAGCCTTTGAACTGCCTGTGTGCCTGCTCCGTTTGGGAACTGCCTTTGAATAGTTGTTTTTAGGAAAGGCTGGAGACAGCAGCCCGCCTCCCTAACCTGCGCCCTTCCAGGCAGAAGGGCCAGAGAGATACTGCAAGTGAGTTCAAGGAGAGGGAGAAGCCCTGGAATGATTACATTTCAGAGCAAGATGATAGGGTTTATATAATACGCATACTGCTTCAGACTGTTCATATAAAGAATATTTTATTTTTTCACTTTAAAAATCTGCAGAATGCAAAACCTTGACCTTTCCTTCTTTGGGAGGAGTTATGTCATTCTTTTGCCTATCCTTTTAGAGCACCGCCAAGGAAATTTTCCTAATTATCCAAAGCTGTTAAAAGATACACAGATAAGCAACCCCCCAAATTATAGACTGGAAGATTTAAATGTCTCTTAAACGTCCTTCTCCATTAGTATGTTTAGGACCTCTTGATTTCCTATGAAGGTATAATCTGTAATATGTATTTCATTTAGGATGAAAGTCTCTTAAATGTACCACAGAATTTTCTGGTTATCTAGATTGATTTAGAGGAGGCATTTAGTCACAGATAGGTTTTTTAATTTTAAGATGTTTGCATTTTGAAAATATGGACAGTTGAATTCTTGGTCTGCCCACCCCACCACTTCCCACCCCTCCTTTTGTATTAACTACACCTGCCTGGGCACATACCGGTATGCCGTGCCGATGTGCCGCTAGGGCTCTGTCCTGTCGGGAGGAGGCGTGGAGGGGTGTTTTACAGAGACCACCCCAGCCCTTTTTTGCAGCAGGTGTTGGAATAGATGGGGGGGGAAAAAAAATTCCCTCTGGTTCTGTTAAGACACGTAAGAGCAAAGTGCTTTGTCAAGCTGCGTGACTTAATCTCTGGGGTGCCCACAAAACAAGTGCAGAGAAAGTTAGCCATTTTCAAGAACTGATTAAAAAGATTCAGCTGTTCAGCATCTAACTCTGGTGTCTGTCAGTGAAAGGTGTCACATGGATTTCCAAGCTGCAGGGAACACACCCAGGCTATGGGAGGAAAGGGAAAGTGGCAAGAAAAGGGACTTGCCAGGTACCTGCTTCGCAGCTGGGATGAAGGAACAGATGCAGCTTTTCCTAAAACGGAGAGCAGCGCTTGCAAAGGCACAAGCCATTGCTTTCCTCAACTGCACAGAAATTAAGAAATCCACAATGTGTTTTTTAAAGTTTGCATTTGTGGTCCTGCTCCCCTCTCAGCTCTGTTCCATCTGAGAAGTCCCTGTCCCCTGCCAACTCTGGGAAAGCACTGCATTTCAGGATGTGAGGCATTAGTCTGTATCTAAATAGTCTGTTACATGAGCTGTGATTCAGACCTTGAGCTGGTTTAAGTTTGTGTGTTGAAATGAATGGAGCCATGCAGATTTTCACTGGCTCGGGATCTGTTCTTTTGTATGTTTGCTAAAAGTAAAGGGTCTGATTCACCAGTGAGGTACTCCCTCTCGGGGCATTTTCACCAGCATAACACCAGAGTGATGCAGTTTAAATTAATTGCACTTATATAAATCACAGGAGCGTAAGCAGTTAGCCCACTGGCTGAGCTGACTGAAGGATGTTAGGAATTGGATAGAAGGCATGTTATTACATGGTCCTGAAAGGATATTAGCAGCACATACTACCTGAGTGAGGTCTGCTGTCAAAAAAAGGGAGAGTCTGCATGAGGAGTGGGTGAGTCAGAGTAAACAGGTGTTCTGAGTGTTTACGGCAAATGTGGATGAGAGGGCACTCGGAGACGTGCAGCATCCATCCCCGTGCAAGGAAGGAAACACAAAGGTCGAGTGCAGGAGACAGGAGGTTTCCCCTCCTTGGAGGAGCCAGGGAGGCGCGGGGATTGCGGAGGGCGGCGGATGGCTCTGACGGTGGTGCTGCCTGTGGGCAAAGCCTTGCACCCACCGCCGAAAAAACAGGCCTAAAGGCTTCGCTCTCACATTTTACAAGTAGTTGGTCTTTTAGGGATTCTTTGTTTTTACTTTGAAAGCTTGTGTAAAGCTGTCTTGTTAATGCCACTGTGCTGCTAATTGCCACTCCGCAAAGCAGGTAGGAAATGATCTGAGCAGTTCTGTTGCCTGAAACCTTGGTATGTGTTTTGCACCAACAAAATGGCTAAGACCAAAGTTTCCCAAGCTTGAATCATGCAGATGAAATGGCGTGGTTTTTTGGGGTGTTTTTTTTTTTTCCCCTACATCAGACCACTTGTTCATGTGCCTAGATAACAACCTGTGAGCCTCGCTTTAGTCTCCCCATTTCTGACAGCTCCACCAAATCCCTTTCCTTGTCAAGTGTTCTGAGAAGGGCATCAACTTTTGTTATTCAGCTGTCTGGAAATGGAAGGGTGCCAGAATTATGTTTGTTATCAAAGAGGGAAGAAGGACCCATGCTAAGCCATCACCAGGTTAGTTCTTCTCATGACAGCATTTATGTCCTTACCAAGCATCAATTACTAGCAAGATTGTGGATCAGAAAATGTTAAATATCTGGATAAATTACAGCAGAATCAGGAAAAATAGTTTCAGAATATTAAATGTGTTATGCTGGGTCACTGTTCCCAGAGCAAAATATATTGCTCTGGCAGGACTGTTAAGCACTTTTTGCCTGGGCCTGCCATGGAGCCCATGGAAGGCAGCACAGCGAGGTTCAGAGGAACCCCCAGGAGTCACTGAGCCCAGTGGAGTATACCAAAAACAGCTCTGCAAGGTTACTGATGCAGGTGACGGCTTCATCCCAGAAGGTGTAAAAGCACAAGTAACTCACACTTACAGTGTAGCTCTTGCAATTCATCAGCCGCCTACATTTCAAAGGAAAGTGTGAAATGGTTAATATGAGGGGAAAAAAAATTGATCAGTTTCCAGTAGCCAGTTGAATGTAGAACATATCAACTAAGCTTCAGTCTTACCCTTTGCTTTCGTATTTCCCCCTTACTGCCAGCTGGTATATCTTGAGAAAGTAAAGAAGTGGTGTAACTTTTAGAAGCAGGATGGTTTTAATACAGCTGGAAGATGAGGAGTACCTCAACTGTGATTATGTTGGATGTCAGAGAAGAAGAAGACCAAAATTAACAGCGTAGAGGAAAACAGGGAATGGTGTTCCTTCCCACTACCCCAATACCTACGCCTTAAGAAATTTTTTGAAACACATTTTTAGGATACCTCTTCTTTCATGTTTTGCTCATTCTTCCAAATGCTGACCTGAAATATCATCAGAAATGGCAGACAATTTAAAGAGGAACCATCATGATATCATGTTGAGCTCCAGTCTTGTAGGCTTAAAGTTCAATGAGTCAGAATAAATCTTTGCGTCTTGGAAAGTTTTTCCAATTCAATTAAAAATTCTCCACATTTTGAAGGTTTTGCACCAATAAATACAGCTCATCTAAAATCAGTAACTTTAAGTCAGAGTTACCAAGTACAGTTTTGTAATAGGATCTAAACTTGTGAGATTGAAAGAGATTAAAAAAGAGGTTTGCTTTTCGGACATATTATAGACTTAAGTGTTCCTCCATGTTTTGGTTATTCAGGTTTGTAATTCCACTTTAAGCATATTAAAGAGGTGATGACTGAACCACAAATGTCTGATTCAGTCTGAACTTTCCAATAGGACAGAGACCTTTGAAATGGGTGTCTTAGAGGTCTAAGCCCATCTCTAATTTTGATATATACATGTAAAAATAATGCCAATAATATCTATGGTGAGGAAACCTGCATTTACTAATAAGATACAAAAAAGTTCCTTTTGGATCAAGTAGGTCAAAGAAGGCTGGCTTCTGTGCGCTCTCTCCTTCACACCTGTGTAACTTCACTGACTTAAGAGGGTTCAATTTAGAGTCAATTTAGCCTATAACGAAGGAACCTGGTCATAGTTCAATTTTCCTACATTGTTTCTACATGAAGATATTTTAACAGCGGGCCAAATTCCCCTGTCATTCCCATCTGTAGTATCTCCGTTGGCTACAGCTGAGCTATTTCAGATTACTCAAGCAGAACTGAGATGTGATTCTAGTACAATAAATGTAACTCTTGCTTATGTGTGTAGTACTGTGACAAGTATCCATTAAACAGAACTGTGTTACATCCCAGCTAAAGCTACTACACTCCAGAAAGCAACACTTTAGCCATCGTTTCCTGATGATTTTCCTGATCACGGTTTCCCGATCTTCCAGTATGCCACTGGTATTATTCATAAGAGGAACAAAAGATTTGAGAATGCTGACCTTGGGATCCAGGGAGCGAAAGCGAGGGCTTGCACAAGCGTTACGTGGTTGGAAAGAGCCATCTGCCGGGCACAGCCACCGGCGGGAAGCGTTTGCTCTCCGGAGCAAGACCTGTGCCAGCCGCCCCACCGTGTGGCCAACCCGTGAACTGGGGACGCATAAGACCTCTGGGATGCACCGCGGGAGGCAGCT